TATAAAACTAAATTCCAGAAGCTAAGGATGTCGTAACAGAAATTTTGAGTTATTTAACTTAGAAAAATTCATTGTTGTCATCAAATTAAAAAATGACTGAAATGCAAAATAATCAAATGAGAACCTTCCGATTCGACGGATTTTCGCTTCGCAAAACTAATAACAATTTGGGATGTCGAATTGCATGGCGGTTCTTCACCGAATTTAAATTTTTGGATAAATTTCTTCCTGTCTTGCAGTAAACTGAGAATATTTCTCTGTGAATGGATAGTATAAGGTTGGTATTGATTTGATTAAGTAGATGAAAAGTTCAACATTAGACTTCATTGTTTAAACTTCGAAATTCATATGTTTGAAATGTAACCAAATATATTTTCCTCTGAATACTTCTTACTTAAACTTTAAGTTTTTTTTTTTTTTTAAATTTTAAATATATGGTTGTGTTGACTCATTTGTCACTTAACTAAAATTATTAATTAAAAATGTTGAATCATTTGACTAAAATTGTTAGTGGTTAGCAATCGATTGATCTTGTCTTATCTCTTAACTACACAGTTATCTACACGTTCTCTTATTTGCTCATTTTTTATGTGATTCTTTACGTTTACTTTTACACGTTACGTGATTTTCGGTTTTTGCCATTTATGGTTGTTTTTTTTTTTACGTGATCTGAAAGTGAGGTCTATTTAATTCTATGTAATATATAATCCATAAAATGCAGCATAGTTTCAGTACATGCAGAATGGCAAATTTTTCATCAACTAATATTTTACACACTGTTTTGAATAAACAGAGCACTTGCCTAGAAGTTGGAAAGGAAGAATCGGAATTTCTAGTTCCCAAAAGCCCATTTTATGAGTATGTTCTTGTCTATTTAAGTTTTGAGATTTTCAATGCTCCATTGATAAAACTATGTTTGTGTGTTGATGGACTGCAGTTGTATGTATTCCACTACTATAGTGTTTTAAAAGTCTCCAGACCTGTCAAATTTACGTGGAATTATTTCAGCCGAGAATTTCGATTGAGTGACTTCGAGATTGGTAGACCATTAGGAAAAGGCAAATTTGGTAATGTCTATCTGGCTCGCGTCAAAGGCATCAATTTTATCGTCGCTTTGAAAGTATATATTTTTTACTTTAAGTGATTTACCAGGATAGCTAAGCAACATCGTCAGATATGACGAAGTTTTCTAGACTTGCTTAATGCAGAACTTCTGACTTTCTCTTAGCTTTATTCCTAAATATATTCATACTCTAAATAACCTTTTTAAAAGATTCTGTTCAAATCGCAACTTATCAAGAACAGCGTGGAACATCAATTACGTCGTGAAATTGAAATTCAAGCTCATTTACGACATCCTCATATTCTACGTATGTACAATTATTTTTATGATGAAAAACGTATTTACTTGATACTAGAATATGCAGCTGGAGGTGAGCTTTATAAGGAGTTGCAGAAGTGCGGCCATTTCGACGAAGAACGTACTGCCAAGGTATTTTTTGATGATATTTAGATTTGAGTTAATTGTGGTACAGTTGTTTATAAGCAGTTTTATGCACTATGAAAAATTTGTGCACTAACGAATACTGTGATATTAGAGCTATTTTTAATATAAGGGATGAAATACATTGGGACATCTAAGTTTTTTTCGAGTCTGCTTGGAACATCTACGTTTCTGGTGAGCTGGTTAAATCTAATAATTGAATATTTATTTTTGGAAACTATTTCTTGAAACTGCTACATCATTTTTCGTCTCTGTTTATGCATTTTCGCAACTATAAATTCATTTGTTCAGCTTATGTTTCAAATGGCTGATGCACTGTCTTACTGTCACGATAAAAAAGTTATACATCGTGATATCAAGCCTGAGAACCTACTTTTGGGCATGTTTGGTGAACTGAAGATTGCAGACTTTGGATGGAGTGTTCATGCCCCATCTTCCAGGTAGGCATAGAGAATTTGCTCATTTATTTTGAAACTTATTAAGTTCAGTATTCAGTTTGAAGCTTCCAAGTTTTTTGACGTCTTTTTTGTTTAAGGCGAGAAACGATGTGCGGTACTTTGGATTATTTGCCACCCGAAATGGTACGAGGAGAGAAACATGATGATAAGGTAATTCACATATTTAGAATTAGCATTGTATCATTTTTTTGCGATATGATCAAACAGAAATTTTCCTTAAATGCCTGGAATTTTTTTTATTTGCTAAATGAACTAAATTTGCTAACTGAACATTTATTATCTGGAATCATTTACTCATTTACATTTACTACCTTGAATGGAAGGTCTTTTTTACGGTTTGGAAGATATTCAGATCCTTTGTCCATTAATTTACTTTTACGCGTCGTCACTACTTATATTCCATTTTTTGGAAGCATAATTGATCATCTATCTCTGTTGGTTCATCGGGCACGGATTATTTCTGAATTTCAGGTCGATCTATGGTCATTGGGTGTTCTCTGCTATGAACTACTTGTTGGTAGACCGCCGTTTGAAAGTAAAACTCATGATGAAACTTATAAACTTATTGCCAACGTCAAATATAAGTTTCCGAGTCATGTTTCTGAAGGAGCCAAGGACTTGATCACTAAAGTTTGTCTTTGCAGTCGTTTTTTGCGTGAAACAAATAGTTAGACAACATAAATGAAATATAGGAGTCATATGTAATAAAATTAACTGATACTGATACTCTGACAACTCGCTTGCAATCATTAATATTTACATACTTCCAGTTATTGGTAAAAAATGCCGCTGCACGCCTTCCTTTGAAAGACGTCATGGAGCATCCATGGATTCGTCAATATATTTGCAAAGAATGAAATTTATGTTTTACTTGCAATTTACTTGGCCACCTCCTTATATTTTGCAGATTACATTTGCATATATGCAATCAAATGTGATACATCAGCAAAAATGAATCATTTTCAACATTCTTTTTTTTTTCTGATTATTTATATATATTTTCATTGTACTTTTTCTCAGTGTCCGTTTAAGCGTATTGTATTTTTACGGCAGAGATGGTTCGAAATAAATCATATTAAACATTTGATTGATTATTCAAAACTTCGGCTTCTTTGCTGGTCATGAATTTGCTGTGAATCTATCTTACACTTATTTTTTTACCATTTTGACTCGTCAAAAGAACTCAATATATCTCTTTTTGTTAAGTAATGCACTAGTAGAGTTATTTAAGGATTACTCCGCACAGTTTTAAATATATATATGATAAATGACTACTAATTTCAAGAAGAAAAACGTAATAGTGGGTTACTGAAGTCGTTAAGATAGATATTGAAAAGATTCAAGAAGTCTTAATGTTTAATAAATTTAACTCTAAGGATTGTATGTGGTAGTTATAATTGTGAAAGACCATCAAGCTGATATAAATTCGTTGTGACGAAACGATCCTATTTTATTCTGTAGTCTCCTTTATTTAAACAAGTTTATTTGGAATTATTGTGAGATATCACAAAAACAGAAACTTGTTTTCTTATTGCTACTGTTAAAATGAAAAATAACTATACAACTTAAAAGAACTGAAACGAAGTGAAAATAAAAACTAATTTGCAGATTTTTTGAAAAAAAATAAAGACCTCAGAAATAGTATTTTTTTAACACCAACGAGTGACCCTACAAAATGTTGAATTACTGTCACCCACCCATTTATTAGTTTTATTCTTCCATACTATTTTGTTTTTTCTTTTAATTCTTTATTCTCTCTAACTGGATAACTAATTACACATTTAATGGATTTAATGCTATTTCTTCAGTTTCACATGTAATTAAAACAATTGACTGCTTAAATGCCGAAAATAATAAAATTTTAATATTTGAGAGAAGGTCAATACTCTTCTTAAATTTAAGGGAACGATATAATTTGAAAAATTATTCTTCCAGGAAGTATGAAATGCATAAGATCAATCAATCAACTTGTTCATATTGCTAGTCAGTATAGAAAATAGAATTATTATTAATTTGTTAGAGAATCTGATATAAAAGGATTAGAAATGTTGGATGAAAGTTTTTTTTATCAAAAGTCAAACGTTATTCCCAAAAATTTATCTTCACAAAATTGATATTTTAGGAAATGGAACACTAATTCTATCATCACATGATCATTAACAAGATGAAGAGTAGAAAATCCTATGACATTTCATACAATTGTCGTTTCGTAACCATTGCTCATTTGAAATGGCTTTGATATTTCAAATTTTATCATTTCAATTTTATATCAATCCTTTCTTCAGTCAGAAATCGAAAGGATTGTTTGAATTTGTGAAAGGGAATGATAAATAATGATTGTGGATTGTACTGATGATGTGTTCGCCGAATTTGGTGAAATCATCGAGATAACAGGTTGAATTTGGGTGGACGATAGATTATTGTTAGGTACGAAATACTGGACAAATGATATTTCCGTCATTGATGTTGGATACACTATTTGTGATAATGCATATCACATCTTTATTTTCGGAAAGTAACCGAATTTAAAAGAAAGAAAAAAGATGAAACTTTGATATGTATTCATTGAACCGATGCCATCCAATCATATTAATCATTAATGTGTGACATGTCCAATTCTTTTTCATGATTTTGTTTATTAGTAAAGTTGAAGATACTTTTCTTGGCTCACTTTTATTTCGTCTTACAGAATTAGTAGCAATGTGATATTTACAAATGAGAAAGATAAATAAGCAAAAAATTGTTAACATTTCATAATTAGTTTTTACTATTATTAATTTAATTTTTATCTATCAGTGATTCCTACTTTTATCCAATTTATATTTATTTTGTTTCTACCTCTATGCACAGTAATTTGTCATCTTATTTCGTTATTAAATTTATTTAGAAAACTTTTTCAGAATCTCGAAGTTATTGATTTACTTTAGTTTTATTCTCGCATTATTGTCATTACAACGAAGTGTTCAACAGATATATCAGGTCAATTTATTAATTGATGAATAACGATTAGTCAACTTAAATCAATCAATATCAGATCAATGACGACAAAATTTATTTTTCTGTTTCTAGTGCTGTTTACAATTATTACTTATGTGGAAGGTTTGTTTTTTTAAAAAAAAAAATTTACAATTTTATTTCATTAAATTGTAATAACCAATAGAATTTCAATAGTTCAATTCTTGCAGAAACAATTTCGTTTTGATAAAAATTGATTTAATAAGCAGAAGACAAAAAAGTTAGTTACTTTTCGATAGTTCAATTCGGACACTGATAACAGTGATAAAATTATCTTAGCCAAAGATTTTCCATGAATAAATCCTTTGCTTACATCCGATTTATCATTTTTAGTTAAGCAAATATAAAATATAAAAAATATACAATACTATCTTTCTTACCGTTTTTAAATTTTCTAAAGAATCTCAAAAAATTGAGCAAAAAAATTTCAATTACTTTCATTCTGAAAATGAAACATTTACTTACTTCAAAGTAAATCCATCAAATTCGTTTTCAACGCTTTCATCTCTTTTAATTAAAGTAATTGTAAATTTCATATTTTTCACTCAAAATTTTATTTTTTATAAAATCATTTCCTCTTTATCATTATATTTTGCATAATTGAAATGCTTTTTCACTTAACATTGCTATCATTTTGAAACATCGATCAACTTCTCTTACTTATCAAAACTACAATTGTGTTATCAATAGCTTATCGTTGACAAATTTCATAGGTTCAAATCTTGTTTAAATAAAGAAATTGTTTTTAAAACAATATATTCTAACAAATTAAAATAAAATCATCTACAAATCAATGATCTACCTTTTTCCATTAACATTTTACATCATTTTGAAATTACAATTTATTGAGATTTCATTGTTTTAAGAAATAAATTCTTGCTCAGTACGCTTATTTCCTTCTTTTTTTTTTTAATTTTAGGTAAATAAAGAGATGTCGAGAAATTGTATTTTGATTAGGGATTTCTTGGTTTTAGTTTGGAGTTTGTATAGATGAATGTGTCGAGAAGAATTCTGTTTGGATGAATTTGTAATGAACGATTCACAATTATTAATCTATAGTAACAATACTAATAATTTAGTATAACTTAAAGATTATGAGACAAAGAATTGATGAGAAATTTAAATAAAGAATTTAAATGAATCGAATTAAATAAATGGGACAGAGCAGCTGTAACTCACTGATACTAAAAACTAACTCAAATAAAGTATTTAAATGCTTACATAGTGGGCACTGACTTACAGTAGAATCTTTATGATATTTCTGATAAACTCAGCTATCTGTGAGAAATGAGTGCTGCATGAGTGATTGTTTATATGAGATAGAATTTGAAATAGTTTTATATTTGTTTAAGGAATATTTAGTTGAGGTAATCTTTAATTTTGAATTAATACCATTTCTACATATTACTATAATTTGGTTTTTTCCGAAATTCTCGATTGAAAGAGATAAAAAATCTCAGAACTAATTAGAACTAATAAACTAATTTAAACTCGGAACTAATTTTTTCGACAGAGTGAGTCAGAATTTAAAAAGCGTCTAATAATTGTTTTACTGCAAAATTTAATTTTAAGTGACAGAACAAATCTTGTCACAAAGTTATCATTGTTAATATGTTAAGTTATAAAGTTTAAAGCGCTGGAAATTTATATTTATTTTTATATTAATGGAAGAAAAATAAAATAGAAAGATTGGTGTTTCTTCTTGAAGTAGCAAAATCGATGAGCACAGCAATTAATGAACTGTATGGATAATTAACATCAAAAATTCTTTAAATAATCATTTGGAAATTATAAAGTTTACACCAATATTTACTCATCTTACTACTAAAAAATATTCCATTATCTCTAAATTAAAGCAATAATCATTAGATGGTTCATTTTTTTTTTTGATTATTAGAAGATAAAAAATTATTATTATTAAATTATTAAAAGATAAAAAGTTATTATTATTAAATTATTAAAAGATAAAAAGACTATCATTTCAGTTAGTCGTTTCTGTTTATTTATTTATTTATTATCTATAGCATCTTTTTTATTACTTAATACTTTTATTACTATTTTTCTTTTATTTTATTAATTATTTATTACCTGTAGCATTTTTTTTCTTTTCTTTCATTATTTACTCTATCATTTACATTCATCAGCAAAATTTCTTAAGCAAATTAAAATATGCCGCAGTGAGTGATAAGAGCCTTTTTAATTTATATTTTATTAAACTATGCAATTTCTTTATGTTACATGGCGAATTTCAAATAAATTTAGGTGTAATTGTTGACGAAAGCAGTGATATCGAATTGGCGGACAATAACAGATTGATTTCTTCATTTCCAAATCATATAAACAATATGGATAGCAATAATATAGTCAATAAATCCGTTACAATTATTGTCAATGCTACCTCTAATATGGACTCAATTCTGAAAATCTCTTCCACATTCAATAAAATCGAAGAATTGGAAAACAGTACTGTTATATTAAACAATAATACCAAAAACTCAAACAATAAGATTCTCAGTGTGAAATCTGCGAATAATATTACTGAAGAATTGATGAGAAAGAATATGACGAAATTAACGATACGTTCACTCGAAAACTCTCAACCAGTAGATAATGAGAGCTTTCCGGAACGATCTCAAAGTGTTCCGGAAAGTACATGCCATGATAGTCAAAAACTTTGCACATTTTGGGCTACCATTGGTGAGTGCAATACAAATAAGAGATGGATGGAGTCTAATTGTCCAGTTGCATGTAGCAAATGTCAAAGTAAGCATTTTTCTAACATTTTATCATCGATGAAATTTAAACCGCGGTGCGCAGTGGTACTTAAATGGTACCAACCATATGTTAGATATCAATCTAATCACTTGTGTCAATAAAATCATCGTATCATCCTTTAAATTGTTGTTCTTTCATTAAGACAACTAGCAATATTGTCGCCCGTATTTAGTACTTTCTTTACAAACTTCCCAAAAGATTTCTTCCGGGAACTCTTGGTTAACTGTTTTAGATCAAAAAGTATGAAATGATATTTCACTAATAACTGCTTTTTTACCTATTAGAAATATTATTAATTTATTAAAATTCTATACTTATCAATTTTACTTTTCTAAATGTTTTTTTTTCTTTCCTAAACAATTGTTTCTTTTCTTTTTATTCTTTGTTGAAGCTAATTAAAATTATGAGGAAAATTCAATTTTAAGTTTAAATGATATTAAAGTACGTCATCTAACAGTTTCAATAGCAAAAAATAATTTACAGTAAAAATATTACTTATATAATCTTTTATAATCATTATTTCTGGAGAATATTTGGCTCAGTCGGAAAGATATTTATTTCAAAATTACTGAGAAGTTAAAAACTTTTGCTTTCCTTTTTTCATCCATTCTTTTACTTGTTTTGAAGGTATAATTTCAATCATTCAAAACAAAACGAATTGAATATTTTCGAGAAATTAATGAAGAAGAATTCAAGAATTTATACTGATACAGATTTGGGCATATATTATACTCATTAAACTTTTATAGAAAAAATTGATCATTTTTTGATCAAAATTGATCATGAAATTTAAACAAAGTTATTAATTTTTTTCAATAAAAATTATGAAATGATAAAAAAAAAACAGTTTAAGCGATGAAGTGATAGATTTTTTTCTACTTTTTACATAGTTTTTTTTTTTACTTTTTACATAGTTAATTTGCTTAAAATTAAATTTCGCCATTTTTTTTGCTAAATTTGTCTGAAATTTGTAGAAAATATATTAAAGTTAACAAAATATATTACAGTTAACTTCAAATACCTAAAAATGGACAAAGAGAAGAATTATATACATAATTCAGCAATAAATTATTAAAATAAAACATACTGAAATTATATTTGTCATTTAATTTTATTGTAAACAATTTAAAATAAAACTTATATGAGATTATATTAAGTATGAATAATTTACTAAAGTTTTTTTGTTTAAACACATGAACTTTCTTCAAAAAGCCATAAATTTCAGTAAAATTCTCTTTTGTGCATTTCTAAATTTGCAATATTTCTACATAAAAATGTACCATAAAAAATTCTTACCACTAAAAATGCATGCAATTTTGTGTTTTTGTTTGCATAACTTGCAATTTGCACACAAGTTGACTTCCTTAGCTGCTGCAAAATGCATGAATAAGCATGCATTATGTTCATTTTGGTCATCCAGCGGTGAATGTGAAATGAATGCAGTATGGATGCATGTCAATTGTCCTCGATCATGCATGCTCTGCAACGATTCTCACTTTAATTTCAGTAAGTTTCAAATTAATTAATATTTGCTACTTATTAAACAAAATTTAATTTATAGGTTAAGTTTCTAAAGGAATAATGCTATGCAAATTAGAAAGTTTTAGAAGTTACTCTAAAATAATGAAATTAAAAATACTAACATATTCCCAAAGCTATATTTTGATCTATTATCAAAAAATAAGAAATTAATAAAAGGAAAGAATTTAAGCTGTTAACCAAAAAAAAAAAAAGTGAGAAATTAAAATTCAAATCATAATAAAACATCATTATTTTACACTTATCAATTGATCTAAATTTTTTGTTTTGTTTTGCAGATCAAGTTAGAAATTTTTGTTTTGTTTTGCAGATCAAGTTAGAAATTTTTGTTTTGTTTTGCAGATCAAGTTAGAAATTTTTGTTTTGTTTTGCAGATCAAGTTAGAAATTTTTGTTTTATTTTGCAGATCAAGTTAGAAATTTCAATTTTTTGCCACAAAAAAAAGAAGACTGTCCTATTATTACCAAAGAAGGTAAATTATTATAAATAAAATATTTTCCTTTTCCTTTTTTGCATCATTGTTATTGAAAGAAAAACTGTTGTTTTTTTGTTTTTTTTTTTTTTGATTTGATTAATTTAATAAATTTTTGAAAAGTTTACAGATACTTCTATACGTCATACAATATCGATCGCTGATGTACGCAAAAAGAATGCTCGATTTGGATGTGTTTCACAGCTCGATCGAAATAATTGCAAACAAAATTTATGCTATCATCTCAGATATCGAACTTTTGATGGTACATGCAATAATTTACGATCACCACAAAACGGTGCTGCTTTTTCAGCTTACATTCGTTTGGAATCACCGCGATATGATAATGGAATAAATGCGCCAACATGTCGGTTTATATCATCGCTTTTGATTATGTACGATATATTATGATGGTTTAGTCTCCTCAACAAATCAAAATTTGAGCATTTTAAGTAGAAAACTTGAAATGCTCAAATTTGAAATTTAAAATATGTTTAGCTTATCAGCAAATGAATATAATTTTTGAAAACGATGATAGCATGAAGCATTTGAGCTAATCCGTTTCAGGTGATAAAGTCAAGTAAATATCTTAGAACCAGTAGATTCTATTTGTATTGCAGCGTCAATTCGAAAAACACGACCAATAGCACGCGAAGCATCACGTTTAATGCTCACGTCAGATAAACAAGTTAGAACATGCAAATAGTTCATTTCTTTATAGTTAAAATGACATAAGCTTCACTCGTCAAATTTTATTTGATAATTTTTTATTATTATTAAAGATATGAAATGATAAGGATTGAAAAGTAAACATAATTTTAATCATATTTAGATCAAAAAGTTGACACAAAAAAAAAAAAAACGAAATTTTAGTTTTGTTTGATTGGGGACAAAGTTCTTTATAGTTGGTTGGTTGACACAAATAGCTGGAATAAACCTTATTGATTGATATTATAGGAATAAGACCAAATATAATATCACAAATGCATAAGTGGTACTGAGATAAATACTTTTAATTGCTTATGTAGTAAGCATTGGATTACAATAAGCTCATGGTTGCAGTAGCAAAGGTAGCAAAGGTGTCACCTTCAGATGACCTTTACTCTTTATATAGTAGGAGTTGGTCTATATATAACATTATGTCAACTATTTATGTCGAGAATGGCTGTAAAATATTGAGTGTAATTAAATTTGCTTTATAATGAAATTAACTGAACAAGAAGCTTACAGCCTTTGAATCATTGAATATAAGTTTGACTGTCAGATCTTAGCAATAAAAGTGGAAGAAGCTATTCACAACATATGGCGTGGATGATTTGAAAATTTAATAATTATTTTGGAAGAAATTGCTTATCTCAGGGAGATTCATTGGATGTAGATGTAAATATGTGGGAGGTAACACAGGAATATAATAAGTCCTTTATGAATAGAAACAATAGCACAATAAAGTTGAATGAAAAGAATTGAAGTTGAACTCTCTCTCTGATTGAACTGTCCCTCTTTGTTTATTTAAGATTGTAACATACATTATTGAATGATGAGTGTTGGATAAATTATTTCTAATTTGAGATTTATGTTTGTCTAAAGAATATTACATAAGCAATGTTTAATTTACAAATTTCTATTCTATGGATTTAATGTAAAATTATTTCGATAATTTTATTTTGACCTCCTCGACAAAGAGACTTACTTAATCGATGAGAAAAAGAAAGTCATAATTAATAGTATGAAGCCAAGAACGATAGAAAAGTGATTCTTCACAAATTTTATCTCAATTCTGAACTGAAATGAAATTTTGATTATTCCTAACAAGTATTTAAATATTTTTGTTAATCTTATTAAATTCAATTAATATTAAATAAGTGAAAAATTGAAATGAATTCGATTGAAAAGTATCAACTAGATTTTAGGTTACAAGTGATTCGAATGCCTTACTAATGCAATGGGGTCAATTTCTAAGTCACGACATGGCCAAGACAACAACTCTAAACAACCAGGAATGCGCATCTTGTGAACCTAATTCTAAATGCACCAATGTTTTCCTATCAAGACGTGATCCAACGTAAATTTCCTTTATTTCTATTATATAAATATTGCGAAAATTAGAAATGGTTGCGCTTTTGACATTTTTGCATTTTATTTATTTCATAGATTAATGCGAACAAGAAATGGAATTTCTTTAAATTGCTAATATTTTCAAAGATTGATTTTAGATTATTTTATAATTTAAACTAATAATTTATGATATTCCAATATTATTGAATGGAAATATCTTAGATTATTTGAAAAGTTTAAATTTAAAAGTTTAAGATTATGAACTTTTAATAATATGATTTTACGCATTATCAAATGGAAAATAGCAAATGAAAGTGATGAAAGTTAAGGTTTCTTTGCTAATGCTAATGTGATTATATCACTGATAGTAAATTTAGATTTGGTCGTTTCCAATGTTTACCGGTAGCTCGATCTACTCCCCTGTGTGGTACCGGACAATCGTCTCCTCGAGAACAATACAATGAAAATTCAGCATATCTCGATGGTTCAATGGTAGAATTCTCTATCACTTTTTGTGATAACGAATGAAATTTGTTAAACAATTCCGTATTAATATTTCTATTAGATTTACGGCTCTTCCGATTTGGATCAATTTATGTTCCGGCAAGGAGCTTTCATGAAGACAAAGATTATTCGAGATCGCGTATTCCTCCTATCGATAGCAATCAAAATATTATCGCCGGTGATGATCGAGCCAATATATTTGTCGGTTTAGCTGCATTCCATGTACTTTTTGTTCGAGAACATAACAGGTGTCCTACTAAAACTTTTCCGTCAATTTTGATCTTAGTAATAAGCAAAGAAACATTACATTTTATGAAATATAAAAAGATGCTTAGTTTTGGTACTGTAAATTCATTAACATTTTTCAAAAATTTCAATTCTAAGCTTAAGTTCGATCCTACATATGTAGGATGGGAACGATGACCTTAACAAGGTTCTAAATTTAGAAGGTAATCATAATTAATTAACTAATCATTTCTCAAATCTGATTGAGAATAATGCTAATTTTGTGGAATATTTAAGGATAGCATCAGAATTACAAATCTTAAATAAAAATTGGGATCAGGATCGAATTTTTCAAGAAACACGACGGATTATTGGAGCTGCTATACAACACATTACATATAAGGTTTATCTACATTTTATCATTATCATTATCATTATCATCATTATTATCATTAATTCTATCATAATCATCACCACAGTGAGATATTATTTTTAAGAGTAACAATGATAAGTGAGTGATAAAATAATTGGAAATGAATTAAAATCTTGATGTGACATAAAGTTAAGACATAAAATTGAGTAAATTATTGCACATTGCATAATTTCTAGGAATATTTACCTCGTATATTAGGCAGTAAATTTAATGAATTAATTGGTGATTACGAAGGTTATGATGAAAATGTTGATGCAACTATCAGTAACGAATTTACTGGATGTGCTTTCCGATTTGGACACGGAATGATACAGGTTTGACGTATTCCTTCTGTTCATTAGATATAATAATAACAAGTAAAAAAATTTTTATACGAATTTATTTAAATTTTTTTAAAATGTTGAAAGTTGTTAAAAGAAAGTAGAGAGTGAACAATTGTAATACAATATTTTAGAAATGATATCAATGTTATGAATAGATTAATTCAAGAATAATTAACGGTCATCCGGAAAGAATGGAAATTTTTTTTAGAGAGAAATTTTTAAATAAAAGGTCATTAATGCTTTTTTTTTTTTTTTAGGGAGGGTTGCAAAGATTTAATTTTTAGGAATTTTATCCATTTCTTGATGAGAATTTTCGTCGCATTGGTGGCATATCGTTTAATGATGGCATGTTCAAAAGTATTCATGTCTTTGCGCATGGAATTGATCCAATTATTCGTGGTTTGATAAGTTTACCAGCAAAGATGCCACAAAGGTAAGTTATCGAAGAATTATGCAAATTTCAATAACTGCAAAAAGAGTATTACTGGAAAATTGAATTTGCTTTCAACTAATAACTGAAGGTATTCTCAGCGAGAAAGTAAATATGTTTAAATTAGTTTTAATGGTAATTATTTTTCTAGGTTCCTTTTCCTCTAAATTACGGCTTGATTAATTAATTAATTAAGCTGATCGAATTCTACAGACTTACTCCAGCAATAACTGAACGGATATTTGGTAATTCTGATCTTGGTTCTATCAATATTCAGCGTGGACGTGATCATGGAATACCTGGATATGTTGTTTGGCGGAAATTTTGTAAAATGTCGAAAGTACGAACGTTCGATGATCTCAACACCACAATTAAAGATCCAATTTTGCGTTCAAACTTAAAAATTTTATATGGACATGTAGGTAAGTATTACTTAAGTACTCATAAAAACTTAAAAGTCTTAAAGTAAGAGACTGTTGATATAATTTCTATTGTTTTCTACAAATATGTAAATTTCGTGGATAAAATTTCAATCACAAATGTGTGATCCATGAGAAATAATCTTTATCCTTTCCCAAACCTAACTTCGTATTTCATATTAAGATCAAAAACTATGTAGAATGTCTTACTTGCAACATTTAATTTTTAGTAAGGTTAAAAAAAAAAAAATTAAGTAAAACACTGAAAATTAACAAAGAATATTTCAAACTTTATTTTAAAAAATTTTTCATTCAAAAATTTTTATTTGCAGAAAATATTGATTTGTATGTTGGCGGTTTATTGGAAGACCCACTAGAAGGTGCTTTTATTGGACCTACTTTAGCCTGTATTATTTCTGAACAATTCAGGAGATTACGAAACGGTGACAGGTAGGAGAGTAAATTTTCAAATTTCATTGTTTCAAAAATTTCAGTAAGTTTATTAAAGTTTAATTTGTTAAAATAACTCTCATACAACACTAATTTTGATTATTTCACTTAGTTCTTTAATAATTAATTCACTGTTAAATAATTTATATCTTTTTTTATAGATTTTATTATGAAAACTCGGAAATTTTGACGAAATTTCAAATTGAGGAGATCAAAAAACTCAGTCTTGCAAGAATAATCTGTGATTCGGGTGAAAATATCCGACAAATACCGTTAGAAGCATTTAATCGAAGCGAAGCACTCGACTTAATACCATGCGATAGGATACCTTCGCCAAATTGGAACCTTTGGAAAGATGATTAAAAATGAAAACTTTATCATTTATCAAAATTTTATCAGCAATTTCTCCATATTCTCTCTCCATTCCTCTTTTCTTCCCCAAAAAAAAGATATGCGATTTTCTGAAGTACTTTAGTGAATTGTAGTTACTTCAGTAAATTACAAAAACGAAGGTACGATTTAAAAACCATATCAAAGCATAGATAATTGTTTCTTTCTGATTTTTTGAGAGAAAAAAAAAGTGAACGAATCTATCAGTCAAGAAATAAAATTTTTTTTTAAATTAAATTATGTAATTGTTTACGTAACAAAAATGCCATTTCAAATTAGCTAAATATCAAATCCTTGATATTATAAAATGGTTTATGACATAATTCTTTCACAAAATTCTTTTCTTCTAATTTACAAAATCCTTTTTTAAAAACTTTCAGGGTCAAAGACAATTTTTTAGGAGATTAATGTTGTTTGTTTTAATTTCAAGGATTTATTTGCTCCTAATCGCATCTTTCATACATTTTTGTAATTTTGAAATTTCATCACATTTACATTTGTTACATTTGACATTAAATGAAAGATTAAATAATTCAAAAATAATACTTATTGTTTATGCAAATGACAGTAATTATCACTTCACAAATTTGAAATATTCATTTTTGAAGTACTCTGAATTGAACAACTGTTAGGTATATGTCCAAATTGAAGCATAATGGCAACATATGTGAGTACCAATGAGACAAGCTAAAAGTGAACTTTGTTTAAAAACAAAATTAGAGGAAAATGAAAATGAAATTTGAATTGCTGTTGAAAGTTCAAATGGAAATGAAGGAGCTTATTAAAAGAGAGAAATAATAGATTGATAAGCTAATTTAAATAGCTGAGAATCAGAAAGCTTAAATATGATGCTTTTTGGGACACATCAAGGATGTGGTTAGGGTATAAATTATTTGAAAGTGGATTACTAGTAGTACTTTTGGTACTTAATTAAAAAGTGGATTACTAGTAGTACTTTTGGTACTATTTCTTGGTTACGTTATTTAGATGGCATAATATTAAATTACTAATATGTTTAAAAATCTCAATTAAACAATACCGTCAGAAACAATTGTCGTGTAACAACGAAAAATCCACCAGCCGTAAAGCTTATTTCAGCCACTTGCAATTTATGTACAAACAATAAAAGCAAACACTGGAAAACGCTGTGATTTTTTAAAATTATCTTCAGTACTTAAAGTCAGGATTGAATACTTTAAAATATATTTTACAGTCGAAATTGTGAATTGAAAATTTTTGATGAAAAGAGCCATGAAAAACTTTAGAAAATTTTCACAAAAACAAATTCTCTATTTTTATACTATCAGATTTAAATAAAAATAAAGCAAGCTATAATTGAATTTAAAAGTTCGAGTAAACAATAATAAAAGATAATTACGTCAAGAAATTGATCACGTCTTTGATTTAATTGATTTTGAAACATTGTAGTAGCAATAGCTATGGTTGCTTGATTCTAAACATGTATGATGATGATGACATGGAAAGAACACGAATTACAGTATTTTAAATATTGTGTCCGCTACAGTACTACAGAAATTAAACTCTAATATTAAGTTTTAATCGAAACAAAAATTAAAAAAAAAGCTAATACATTTTTCAAATGTAAGGCAGAAGAAGTCTATTTCAAAAATTTTTATACTTTAAAATTAAATTAATTTCAAAAAAAATTTTTTTATGCTATCGAATACGGTAGCATAATGGTTATCAAGCCATTTATTCTACTGTATATATATTTAAACTATTACTCTTTCATAAAGTCGATAAGCAGGTGCAGTGAAAAAAGTCATATGAAATAATGAACTAATAGCATACAGTATACATAATATCGTATCAATCCATGTTTTACTTTCACTTCTATCTTCCAAATAAGTATACAGTATGAAGCATAGTTCGGTAAAGCATAATGCATCGACATATGCTATTGCATATTTGAATTGCTCCTCAATTATATCAGCAGTTTTTTTTAGACCCTAAAATAATTGAATCATATATGTTCTGTTATACCGTAGGCAAGTTTTGTTATACCGTAGACAAGTTTCGTTATACCGTAGACAAGTTTCGTTATATCCGTAGACAAGTTTCGTTATACCGTAGGCAAGTTTCGTTATTCCGTAGACAAGTTTTGTTATACCGTAGACAAGTTTCGTTATTCCGTAGACAAGTTTCGTTATACCGTAGACAAGTTTCGTTATACCGTAGACAAGTTTCGTTATACCGTAGGCAAGTTTTGTTATATCGTAGACAAGTTTCGTTATACCGTAGGCATCTTTTGTTATTGTTTGAAATGTTTGGTACACTTCATAAAATATTGAGAAAGTTGAAAAAATCAAACAATAACCAGTATTGATTATCAATATTCAATAGTCATTGAATATTTTACTCAAATTTTGTTCTTATATATTTCTATAGTATCTTTCTCTCATCATCTGAAATTGCTTTATATCACTTAATGAAAGCTACGCATATTTTTATTGTGTACATCTTTCTCGTACAATAAAGAACAAAATGAGAATTTATCTATTTTTGCACCTTTCTTTCCTAGTGTCACACTTTGATAGTTTAGAATATTTAATATTAATTAGATAATCAGAATCATAGTTAAAATATGCAACGTTAACCTTTATTGTTCATATTAGCTCATTAACTTTAATAATTAGTTGGTAATGTTTAACTAATAAAATATTTTTAGTTTAAAAAAATTAAAGAAAAAAATATTTGTAAACACCTTACTCGATAACGATGTTTATATTTCAATACATGGTTAACTGCTTGGCTACTTGTCCAACTAAAATTAACAGCAACAATTAGTCGGTGATACTAAATTAGTTGGATTATATTTTAATTAATTTAAAAGTTTATTGTCACATTTTAGCATTTCATACAAGTTAGAAATTCAAATTAAGCATTGTTTGTCGATGATCAAATATTAAAATTAAACAAGTTGAAATTTAAAGAAACTATGCATAAAATGTATGATAAAAACAGAAAGTGAAATAACTGATAAGATTTACTTACTTATGATCTATAACTATACCATCGTGATGCATGTCATCAATAAATGCATCAAAGCAAACTGCAAGAATATAACACGGAAAGGCGAAAAATACAGACCAACTCATTAACGCCGATTGCGTCAAAAATGCAACGTAATGGTGAATAATCATTAATATAACATTCCAAAGATCACTATTTTCACTTTTAATTGTTTTTTTATGAATCGCTATAATTGCATTTTATTAGTCATAGAAAAAGAAAAAGTTCTGACAATTCGTATGGTTAATTTTTCTATAAACTTTTGAATATGAAAATGAAGAAGTTCTTACCAGCTGTAGTAATAACAGCTATCATAGCCCAGAAAATAGTTAGACCAACCATTATTTTACACATCCGATGAAGTCGTAAGGCATGTTTGAAATTTGGATCATGTATAGCTACCTGTTGTACAACAATTTTAATCAATCGATTGAAACTTTTTCGCATCCAGAAGAGAAATAACGAGCAAATGCCACCACTGAATATAATCTTTTGGACATAGAGAAAATGGAAAAAGAATAAATTCATGTAAAATATTTGCTTGATATAACATTTCTTAATTGAATGAGTGATAAATGATTACATAGCCGACTAATTTGATGGCTATAAAATAACATTACAATACTTTAAGGTCAAATGTCATCAATGTTGTCCACATTATGTACTAAGGAAACAAATATTCATCAAACATACCTTGCAAGGTAACATGCATGAACAATAGCAAATGCAATGTTAACATTAAATCCAGTAAATTCTATTTCTGTTATAATAAAAGCCGAATAACCATTCTATGAGAAATTTAATGCATTTAAATAACAAATATGGTTGAAATGTGTATAATAATACAGAAATTCATGCTTTCAATTCAATTGCAGCCATTAAAAAAATTAAATTCTTAAGCTAATCGTAATAATGTATGTTACAATAGTAAGAATTACCATGATTATCATAATCATAATATTATAAATCATAAGTGGATACCGCCATGCAGGATTTTCCGTGTAGGAAGTTAATCCGAGGATACGCATATATACAAAAAGTGGTTTAAGAATTATTTCATAATGCTGATTCATCATTGCTTCTATTTTACGATAACTCCGTTGAGAAGACACTAAAAAAGGTTTTTCTTTTAAATTTCAGATAAAAGTAAACAAAGATTCTAATGAAAGAAGAAAAAAAAAACTTCAGTAATTGTCTATGGATGCGATTCAGTAGTATTAGCATTATATTATATTTTTAGATTAGATTTTTAGACTTATTTGATAAAATGATATTTCTTCACAAATCAAAACAAAACAGTCAAAAAAGTTTTATGAAATAGCAAAATTCGATCAAACTTATAAAATATCTATCGCACATTTTGCTAATCATACTAGCATAAATTTTAAGTTAACATACAATTTTGCATTATTACTAAATTCTTCAATAAATTTTTGAAATTTTTTGAGATTGTGTCTTCATCGAGTTCAATTTAATTTACCCTATTTGTTTTGACTATATTTGTTTTAAGTCAAATTAAACAAAAAATTATTGCTTACCAGAAAGGTTTGAAGAAAAATGAGAAACTCGGGAAAGAGTGGACATTACCGAATCCTTTCGAAAGGTAATTCCATCTTGGTTTAACTTTGCCTCTAAAGTCATAAGGCATTTGCTGGATGGTATCGATAGTATTGGTTTTTCTAATAATCTAAAATTTTCAATTTATTATAATGAAATGGAAGTAACAACAACTATTAAATTCGCTCCATTTTCAGAACAAATTTTACAAATATGAAAAACACAATTCTATAATTTTTGATGCACATTAAGCAAATTTAAGCTATTAAAATTAAAATTTAAACTTGTTTAACATGCAAAATCTTCTAGTAAGTATATTTCAATTTACTTTTCAGCTTCTGAAAGCATTTTATTCGATTTCACCGGGATGCTTTGAAATGATGAACAAATTTAACAAAGGCTTCTTCCACTGAACACAGAAAATAACGTTAAATTATAATAGTTTTGATGAAAAAAAAGCACTTTTAATCATTTTCTTTTAGATATTTGCGTGTTTCCTGAAAATTTATCTCAAAACTTTCCGAAAATTAATAATTCTTAGAAAAAAAAAAACATTGTTTTTCCATTTTTCACAAATTCACTCTTTCTTAACATCTACATTTATTTAAAACTTCAAAATACATCAGATATTTGACATTTCAGGATGCCCATAATGTTTTATTGATAAAAAAAATCAGCAAAAAAAAAAGCCAAGAATTGCACTTAACTCTTCCACTTATAATTTTCATTTATAGACATCAAATTTTTTTTTTCTTCCATCGAAAGTACTTTACATTTAATCTAAAATTCGTTTATAAACTCTTCAAAATTTTTACATTTTTACAATTTAGGATATAGTTAAGTAAATGGGTTTATATGTAGAAAGTAAAAGTTACAATTTTTTTTTTTTTTTGTATAATTCACTTTCGTGATAACTTTCTTCCTCATAATTTATACATTCTTCATTGGTTTACTTTCCTTACTTTCAAATCATTAGTCGTCAAATTGTCACATCCTATTTGATGTCCCAAAAAAGGTTCTTAATTTCTGAGTGAAATTTGTTGCATTTTCCATTGTACTTTTAAATTGCATAAAAATGTATCAAAATACATATTTTATCGCCAAAGATATTTAAATTTATAAAATAAATTAAAGAGATGTGAACCTTTGATAGATAATTAGAAATTTCAACAAAGCATCCAATTATCATTTATACTTTTCAAATAAATTTAAACATTATGCAATTTAGTGATTAAAATAGCGCAAAATTACTCAAATTTTATTTCAGTTCACTTTATTAATTGATTATGCAATATTGATCGAACAACAAACATTTGTACTTCGTACATACATTTAAGATTATATTAGCACCAATAGGTTATCATAGCCATAGAGTTGATAATAGTTTTTCTGATTAGACTTTTCGAGAATCGCTAAAATTGCTAAATATGAAAGAATAATTTTTGACATTTTCGAAATTTGAAAAATCGTAGAAATCTAAAATTATAATAACTATAACAGCGATTTCATAACTGAGAGCATTCCTTCACTTGCCTTAATCCGTTTTCTTGATCCATTTCACATTTATCTTTGTTGACATTTACCACTGTTGCTGCCGGTTTCGGAATATGAAAACCGATGAAGAATTGATATAAATATACGCCAATTATAGCACCCACAATTGGCGCCACTAGTGGAACGAGAAAAAAGTAGTTATGGAATCTGAAAGAATGAAAATTTAGATAAATTTCAGGAAATTTTGAGAGAGCAAATAAGATTGCTCAAATAAATAAGATTGATGGAAAATTAAAGCACTGACGTAAAAAGTTGAGTGCCATAACCAATTAAAGAGGCAAAAATCCGTGCCCCAAAGTCGCTAGCTGGATTGACCGGAGAACCCATATTCAAGCCACAACACATTGAAATTGTTGTTGCGATTGTACCGAAGAGAGCTGGCATTAAATTTCTTGGTATTTGGTTCTTGGGTTCGCAGCAGAATGCGACAAAAAGGCCAATTAGACTAGTGCCAGCCATCTAAAACTATGAATAAGAAATTGAAATGAGTTATCGAACAAAAAGTAACTAACTTACTACGAAATCGGACAGTATTTTAACTATGAAAGTCTGTTTTGCTAATTTATTGTTAAGTTGTTTTTTTGTAAACAAAAGAAAGACAAACCTGATCGATAAAAGCGCCAGTATTTGAAAGATAAGCCCGTGGGAATGATGCAAAAATTATTCCCGTCGCATTTGGCCCACTTATTGCCCGGACCCCTCCATCAAAGGCATTTATTGCCTCTGAAAACGGTGAAAGTTGTGTAAGTGCCAGGAAGAAGTTATTTACTTAATTACATTTAATATTCAAATTTACTTTACCACTGTAAACTAAATACATTATTCCTGTGCCAAATGCGGCGCCAAGTGTTTGTGCAATGAAATATAGAAGACTGTGAGTGAAAGATATCTTTCCGAGAATGCATAAAGCAGCTGTTACTGCCGGATTCACATGTCCACCTGGAAATTAGTCCAATTGTACATACAATTTCAATGATTCCTAAAACACAAATACAACATTGTGTTGCAATAAAAAGAGTTTTCATTCCTAAAACTTATGGCCAAATAGGATCGATTCAAAATACTAACAGTCCTAATCTGTGGTACTAACAAAGAGCCTAGCAAGTGTTTGTACTTAAAGCAGTATCTAGTTACAATAGTTTTGGTATATAGTCGAAATGGCAGAAATATAAACTTTTTCGGTAAGACATAAGTCAGGGATTTATCACTTATCGAACACACAACAGTCAGAATTTGAGTTTTCATTTTAGCTTCTTTATATGAGCTACACTTTTCCTTATTTAAGGTAAAAAAAAACTTCGTTTCAGGTAGAGAACAACTTCGTAAAGTTTTGTAAGTTACCCGAAGTTTCCCATGCAACATAAACTGATAGTGCGATTGCCAGTCCCCAACCAATATTAATTTGTATCGGAGAGCTTGATGTTCCGGGACTGAGTACAAACTGAGCCATCACACCAGTACCAATGAACTGAATTCTTCATCAAATTTATTTCCTGATCAGACGACAGAAAATCTGCTCGGAAGAAGTGCATTGTATATTCTTTGAGAAAGGACTAAGCTTCAGAATATCAAAAAAGTTCAAGGTTCAAATTTCAATAGACTTAAAACAATAAATTGAAATACTAACTCTTAGAAGAGCGGTGCCATAAAATTCAGCAAGCAAATTACGAGCCAATTCTTTTTCTATGCGTCCATATTTTTTGAGGCGTTCCATGTGATGCATTGTGTTTAATATGAAATTTGTATGCAATTCTGAAATGCCTATGAATCTTCAAATCGCGGTTTTAGACAATATTATCCATTTCAATACTAAAGAATTCGCATAAATACTAGGCCAGAAGGCACCCCTCGAATAAAGTTTGTAGCCAAGTATTCCAGATGAAAACTTGCAGAGCTGAATTGAAATAATTTAATCGTTCTGATTGTTATGTAATCAGTAACGATCCTTTCAATCATCCAATCACACCCGAAAGTCAGATTTAGATCAATTTTTATGATTGTCACAGAAGTGAAACAATCTCAAAAAGTGATTGAAAATAAAAATTATTTCTTTAGACGAGAAGAAATTTCCTTTAAAATCAGTTAAACAGTACAAAGAGAGATAGTATGTGAAAAATTACAGTCAAAAGGGAAAAGAAATTAATGATAGCAAATTATTTGACATTTGTCACTGATACTCTGACTGAGTTATATTTGAACAAAATGTCGGGAAAAGCACAGCAAAGATGAAAACGTTTCCACATTCAACCGCTTAGAGCAATAAAACTGATTTAACAAATAAAAAAAAAGGAAAATCACGTGGAAATGTCGCTTTCATTGACGTTCCGAAATCTGAGAAAAGTATGGGATAACGATGCTTACATTAAATTAAATTTGTTTTACATATGACAATGCCGCCTTAAGTGCTCCATAATGATTTAGCAGACTGATCACATCCCTGAGATTTCCGGGAAATTTTAATTAATTGATGATAAATTCTTTGGAACACCAAATATAGTATCAAAAGTAATTAATTGGAGAAATTCGGCTGGGATTGGTCGTTGAGTAGAGACTGAAGGATACTATGAAAACCGAATTTAAGACTATTTCAATCAAAACTGCACCTTAGACAATAGCTTTAACCACGTTTTATAGTGGACGTTGGCTTACAACAAAACGTGTGGTTACAGTGAGTAAATAAATAGTTGTCACTTGTGATTGACCTTTGCCCTTTGTATAGTAGACAGTTGTTTTATAACATTACGTGAATTACTTGTAAGAATGACTTTCGAGTAGAACACCTCTACTGCATTTAGATATTGTAGATAGGATTGCTTTGTAACAAAGAAAGCTAATTGAGCAACGAGCTTATAACCTTTGAACTATCGAATATAAATTTGACTGTCACACTGAAAACTTTTAACAATAAAAGTGGAAGAATCTATTCACAACATATTAAGCAGTGACATACATCCTAGACAATGCACAGAAGTACAGTTACCATTGAATGATGAATGTTGGATAAATCATTTCTTATATAAATTAAACTAAGTATTTTGAAATAAATAGTGTCATCTGTTACAACTCGAATTAATTCAATTATAAACATTCCATTGAAAATAATAGAGGAAAAGAAATTTTGTTTAAAATCACTTGAAAAGTACAAAGGAAGTAGTGTTTAAAAAATTACAGTCAGAAGGAAAAGAAATTAATGATAATAAATTAGTTGAAGACTACAAACTTACATCTATCATTGGTACACTGAAATTTTAAACAAAAATGTCAAGAAAAGCATAGCAAATATAAGAACAAGTCCACTTCAACTGTTTAGATTGATTTGATTACTTATTTGTTAGTAACTATTCGTATTTTTCGCTACACATAAACATAAGATCAACAAATCATTCTACTTTTATAAATTTGATTGATACTACAAAGTGTGCAGCAACTCGCTTTATTGTATGAAAATATTTCTTTCATTGGTGTTTTAAAGTGTGAAAATGGGATGGTATAATGACGCTTACATTAAATTAAATTTGTTTTACACATATGTTAGTGTTGCTTTTGTGATTTGATAATTAAGCAGTGATATGTGATCTAAAAGTCTATTAGTTTTAAGTGGATCTAAATTTGTCAGACATAATTGTTAAGTTTGTTATGAATGAAATACTGAATAGAGAAGAATTAATCGTCTAACTTCAAGAAATTTCTATTTCAATTTTTTTCATTTTTTTTTTTTTTTGTTAAATTCACCCGCCGAATAGACATAAAATTGATTGAAAGGAGATTAATTGGCCGTACAATAATGTCTTAATCAAATTCAATGAACGCTGAAGGCATTTATTTATTTTTACTTATTGCAATTTCAAATTCATTCTACTGGGAACAATTTTAGCTCCTATTTTACATTTTGGTAAATGAAAAGAGCGCAATGAGTTAGAAAAAATTGCAACATTTAACAAACAGAATTTTCTTTTAAAGACATAAAAGAAAGAAATATTTACAAAAAAAAAAAAAAACTTTGCAAGAACAAAGTAATAAATCATGAGATCAAAAGGTTCTGTACATCTTACAGAGAGAAATTATTGAGTGGTACTAATATTTGATTCCTTATATTTTATAAAATATAAAACAGGAAGTAAGTTTATAGTGCATACAGTAGGAATTATTCAGTGCAGGTGGTTTAAGTAAGAAGTGCAAGTATGCATTTATTGGTGTCAAAAAATTTTCCACACAATCAAAACGAATTTCCAAAAATTCCAAATCTGATAGATTGTGAATTGCTTTTTTTGATTAAATTTAGAATTATTGACTCAGCCAGTTATGCTTTATAACCAAATGATTCATACATGTGTCAAAACGATGAATTAAAACTGTCAACAAATGAGTGTTTGCTTGAATGATACCTGCATGAAAGTGTATACCTTGAATTGTGTACATGTAATGTCATTCAGTTTTGATGAAAGATTAAAATTAGCTTAGTTAATAAAAGATTACTGTAGAGCCATAAGTTGTGTACAATTGCGCCACTTTCTGGTATATATATCATAAAACTTGAAATGTTTGATAAATGCTGTTGATAATATGTATATATGTATATAATATTTTTTATTCCTTCGCTTAGATTCGAGTACAATCAAGAGAAGAAAAAAAAAATTCACATGGTTTTCGAATTCAAATTTATTCAGAAAATGGAAATTCAATACCTTTGACAACAAGTAATGCCATTCCGTCTTGACAAGAAAACGAAAAAAAAAATTGTGTAAAAAAGTAGGCTAGCTATTGTATTTTTCTATTTAGTACAAAAATGTGGACAAAAACAGAAATAAAGGCATAAATAGAAAATAAAAAAAAAAAAAAAAAAATAGTATTACACTATTACCGGCCAATTATCAAACAATCAATTAAGGTGCAAAGTACTCAAAAAGGTAACTTATCATTACCACAGTTAAACATGAATTGCATTGATAGATGGAATTTTGCTAGGATTTTTTTTTTTTTTTTATTAAATGTTTCCAACAGTTGGCCGAGGCAGATAGAAATGTAATATAAATCGCTGATATGGAAAATTAGATGTGCATTTGATGTCGCTAAACTTTTATCTCATATCTGCACTAATTTTAGCTTACGACCGGTCCCTATAGAGAAATAAATCATCTAATTTAGAAAATAGTGAGGCAAAATCATTTAATTAAATTGGAATTGGATAACTTTTCAGAAAGAAACCGAATTCTTCATATGCTGCATTTACACTTGTATTTATTTTGTTTATTGGGTTATTTTTTCAGCGTTGACTTTATGCAAGATCTCTGAAAAAGAAAAAAAAAGAAATATGTGAATAATTAAAATTACAAAATTAAAAATGTTTTGAAAGATGATACCAAAACAATTTGAATTATTTATAGTAATCATAAAAAAAAAAGTATACAGTTATGATATTTTTTTTTATTCAGTAAAGTGAAATTATTAAACAAATTATGTCCAAACTTAAAGTAAACAAGAATAGAGAGAAGTCAACATACGTAGTTTTCAACGGAATGCCATCACCATCGGTTTTATTTTCCTTCATATAACTGGGCGGTTGATCTGGAATTTGAAAGCCAACGAAGATGAAATATGACCAAGCTGCAGCAATTGCGCCAAAGAATGGTGCCACTATTGGAATCCAGAAATAGTAATTATGATAACTGCAAAAGAAGCTAGTATAAGATATTGAAACGCTTCTAATAAATATTATTAGCAATCTAATGAGTTACTTTAAATATGACTTTACAAGTTATCAGTACAACAGAAAAATCTACACTTAATAACAATTCACTAAAATTTAATTAACATTAAAATAAACAAACATTAACAAACGATTATCAAAATATCAAATTATCAAGCATAACTACTATCAAGCTATACGACAGCTATTCATACAATATGAGAAGTGTCTGTATATGAATCATTTGTTGTGATTATTTAAGAAAAAAAAAAAGAACAACAATTCTTCATACCTAAAAACTTCCCAACCATATCCGATCATAGCAGCAAAAAGACGTGGAGCAAAGTCTCGAGCAGGATTAATAGGATATCCAAGATTCATTCCAAATGCCATACCAATCATTGCAACAACTAATCCAATAAGAAGTGGATGAATTGCAAATGGAATTTCTAGACGTTTGTCCGTGATCACACATGCAAAAAGAGCCAAAAATCCTGTACCAACAAACTAAAAAAGAAGAAAAAAAAAATTGGATAAAATAAAATATTCCATTTGCAATTTTACAATATATATCTATTCCTTCAATTAAATTTAAATTTATATTTGAAAAGCATATAAAGTGATAGCGATAAAATGCAGCGATAAGAAAGGCAAATTTTTCATACTCTTTTTTCCTTTAAAATTTAATAAAATCTTATTGATAAAATTCAATATTTTGTTAATAAAATATACATAAGAGGCCAATAAAGTGATCTAATACTGTAATATAAGCGCAAATATTACAAACGCATAGAATTCAAAAAATTTTGGTTTAAAAGTTTAGAAATAGAGAGAAATAAATTTGCATTAAATTATTAAAACTAAGCTTAGTTACTACAGAATATATTTAATAGTATAGAAGAATAGTGATTACTTGATCCCAAAATGCGATCGTATTTGAGACGTGAGGTGCAGGCATTGACGTGAACAATCCAGCTGTACCATTCGGACCTGCTACAATGCGAAGATCACCCAACACATGATGAGTTTGATCTGAA